ATGTATGCAATGTGTTAATTATTGAAACTGTCCTACCAATTTGGTTTGAAACTGTCTCATTGCTATTTGTTTCTCAATAAAAGTATGGAAAAAAATAAGAGGATCTATAATTAGGCTGAAGGAGTTATATAGTCTACAGTGGAGATGAATTATCAAACTTTTTGAAAAATGTAGTTTAAAATATAAAACCTACAAGTATAAAGGTAAATTTTGCAGACATTTATAAGTAGGAATTTTATAGATCTTGCTGCAATGAATAAAGATTAGTTACAATGAATGCCATTAGTTTATTTTTATATGAGTACATGCCTTCTATTTTTCTACACTATTATTTTCTCTAGCAAAACTTATGCTCATAAATTGTAAGAATTATACTTATTCTGAATTAATAAAAAAGAAAGAAATGATGCTGCTACCACTGCTGAGTTGGAAACATGTTGACCAGAACAACATACTAGCATTCCTTTCTAAAAGTGCGGATGTCAGGTTTCTATCATAGAATCCTTTTCTTGATTTGTATTAAGAATTTTACTCATCCCTATTGCTGCATTTTCCACTGAGCTGAGCCTTCCTGCAGGAGCTCTAGTCTTAATATTATTACTTGAAGGCACTTCTATCTCAATGTTTCATGGAAATAGTGTTCTATTTCTGTTCACAAGTGCCATTCTCATCTGGATCTGTCCTTTGCTGAGCATGGGAACCAGTATCTAGGACTGTTCCAATTGGAAGTCATTATTTCTACCCTTAAGAGGAAGACAGGGGCCAGGGAGATAGCTCAGTAGAATAAGTGCTTGCCTGGAAAGCACAAGGGCCTGAGTTTAATCCCTGGTTCCTGAAAAAAAAAAAAAAAAAAAAAAAAGGAAGACAGTCCAGTTACAGAAATAAGAGGTAAATACAAAGAACATAAATCAAGGCAATTCAATGGCATCAATTTTTTATGGTCTACCAGATACCTGCCATAAAGCTGAAGGGAGGTGAGAGAAGGCCTTATGAGAAGGCACTTGCCATGAGCTCAGAGGTTTAGGCACTATTGGAAACAAGGCCTGAGAAATATCCTACCTGAGATTTTTTCCATTTCTTCCAATAGCTTTTCCAAGTCCTTATTCAGGTCTGACAGCATTCTCAGCATGTTGTCGTAGTTTCTTTCCCCAGGGTCAGAATCAGCCATCTATGTGGTGCACAGAAAGACCTGCCAGGAAACATACTGGCATTTTAATTTAATTTAATTTTGAAGAGTAAAAACAAAAGCAAGAACAAAAATCAGAAACAAAGAAACAGGGCAACATACAACAATTCATATGTTACAGATTTTCAAAACAAGAATATCTGATTAACAATGGTTGATATATTATCTATTTTTATCATCAAATCTGTTGCCCAGATTAACAGATATAGTTATGTAAAATTGGATATATGATTAAATATTACCATTTGCTTTCAAGAAACCTTGGGCCGGGGAGATAGCTTAGTAGAATAAGCGCTTGCCTGACAAGTGCAGAGTCCTGAGTTCAATCCCTGGTACTAGAAAAAAAAAGAAAAGCCAAAAACCTTAAGTCTTCGTTCTTGTCTCTCTTTTTTTTTCACCTTTTTAAAAATTTATTTTAAAGAGTGTAGTAATAATTGATATGACATTAGAAACTGTACACATTTAGAAGAATCAGATGACAGGTATTCAAGCATGGCTTTCTGTATTACACATTGCTGTCCTCAATGAAGTTGCTTAGATCACAGATATCAGCATATAGAGTTAGTCAAGGTGAAAATTCTACACATTGACTGCTATTTTCAAAAAACTGACAGAAATTCTTAGTACAATCATCTCAGCCATCCTGAACATACTGGTATTTTAACCCCAGCTCCATAGTGCACATCTGAGTGATCCTTTAAAAATTTCTTTCTTCACCTCTTAGATTTGGACAAAATCTCTTACTCCATGTGGTTGTTATAAAGGTTAAATGAGAATGTATAAAGATGAACAGCCTATGATAGAATTTTATACAAAGTAATTGTTGCACCCCTTTTTCTGATCCTTTGTGTACAAACACCTCTTCAAACATAGTTGAGGGATGGAATGATTAAAGTGGAAAAAAATGGGGGCTGGTGAGATGGCTCAGTGGTCTAAAGCACCTATTTAAAACAAGTTTGGCAAAGCGCAGGGACCGCGGTTCAATCCCCCAGCACCACATGCCAGCTAGCCCCCGCCCCCTGGTGGGCTGAGCTGAGCTGGCCACACACACACACACACACACACACACACACACACACACATGCATAAATAAAAAAAATAAATAAAGTGGAAAAAATGTTTTATTGGTTATAAGTGAAAAAATTCTTTGCCACAATGGTGACACAATAGTGCTTTTATTTTAGCAAAAATGTATGAAGTATCTATTTAAATGCTGGCTGTTGTACTGACTTGTTATAAAGATATAGTCATTGCATCTAAAGAATTTCCTGTGTAATATGGGAACAAGTCATATACAGAAAAAATGAAAAACTAGAATATGACAGAGGTCATGGTAAATATACATAGATAGCATTAACATAATACACGCATAATGGTACAAGAACCTGTAGTGGGGCTTGTTTAACTTTAAAATATGAAATGAAAAACAAAATATGAAATGATGCTCAAATTTGAAGGGTTTTTAAAATTCTTTTTCTTTTTGGTACTGGGGATCAAGCTCAGGACCTTGTGTTTGCCAGGCAGTTACTTAAGCTGCTGAGCTATCCCTCTGGACCCTCCTTTTAAAAAGAATATATATATATATATATATATATATATGTTAGAAATTATACATTTCACTAGACAAAGTAATAAAATTTCAACAATGGTTGCTGTATTGCATGATGTCATCTTCAAATTAGTTGTTTTGTTTACCAGATATAAACATGCAAAATTGGTTAAAAAAAAAACTACCACCAGAACAAAAAGTTATAAGAAATTAAAAAGAAAAAAAGAAATAAAAAGAAAAAAATAAGCATTGAACTGTTCTTTCAAAGGACCAGTGGAAATCAGTAGTATAGTTATCCAAATTATCTTCCATATATATATATATACATAAATATACCTAAAAATATGGAACACATCACAAATTTGTGTCATCCTCGTGCAGGGGCCATGCTAATCTCTATACTGTTCCAATTTTAGTATATATGCTGCCAAAGCAAGAATAATTTTTGGTTTTTTGAGACAGGGTCTCACTATCTAGTCTGGGCTAGGCTTGAACTCACTATGTAGCAGGTAAATTGGGAGATAGAGATAGAAGAGCTAGAAAGATGGAGGCTAGGACCATGTGACTTTGGCTCTCAGAAGAGGGATGTATCAGGAAGGCAGATCCAGGGAAAATGTATGAGTGCTAAGATGAGAAAGAAGTTTTCTGTTTTTGTTTTTATACCAGGAATCAAACTCAGGACCTTGTACTTGCTAGATAGGCACTTATGCTGCTGAGCTATCTCCTTGGCCTTGAGAAAGAAGTCTTTGAAGCCAGGTGCCACATGCCTGTAATTGCACCAGTCAGTCAGGAGGCTGAGGCAGGAGGATTACCGTGTTTGAGGCCAGCCTGGGCTATACAGTGGGTTCAAGACCAGCTTGAATTACAGAGCAAGACCTTGCCTGAAAAAGCCTTCACAATAAAAATACAGGATATTTCTGTGTAATGAGGATGACCGTAGGACTGGTCATCCTTATGTTCCAGGTATCTTCCTGGGGTAATGGTAGATTACAGGGGCTTGAGTGGGTAAAGGGAATGTGGAGGAAGGCGTGAGAGGTCTGAATTAGATATCACTTTTGAGTGTGGAGGGCTTGAAGCAATGAGGTCTTGGGGACTGAGAAATCCACAGATATGCATAATGCAAAGGTTTAAGGTTCTGTTTATCGTTTGAGAATCTTGCCTAGTGCAGAGTTTAATAGTGTGTGGAACCCCTCCTGCACTAAGAAATGTGAGGAGATGTAAGAGGATCTTTGGTCTAGATTAACTCTTTTGTGAGCAGTGAGAGTCAGGAAGGGTAGCCAACATAGGAGTGTGTGTGTGTGTGTGTGTGTGTGTGTGTGTGTGTGTGTGATGTGGGGGGAGAGGAATCCTAAAGTTAGAGAAGCATGAAGGATTTGGGTCCAATCCTGGTATGTAGACATGATACACTGTGAGATGGCTTACAGGTGTGGAGTGTGAGGAGTCCAGGTGTTTCACCTGTGCTGGAAGGTATATGTGAGAAAAGGATGAGTAGGATGAGTCCAGGGTGTGCAGAGTTCAAGACCTGGAATGTATGGTGTGAAAGGACCGAGGAGTCTGCAGTGAGGAAATATTGGTGAGAGGTAGGTGGCGTGAGAAGACTGAAATGGGGAGTTAGGTGTGAGGTGAGGAGACTGAGATGAGGGGTTGTTGTAGGGCTAGAGGATTTCTGGTGAGGGGTCAGGGTGTGAGGATAGGGCATTTTTATAGGGGTCAGGATGTGGGCCAGGGAACTGTGGTAAAGGGTCAGGATATAGGGAAAGCGGACCTTGGTGAGAGGTTGGGCAGTTGAGTGGGGAAACTCAGGTGAAGTGACAAAGGTGAGAAGTCGGGCTGTGGTTGAGGGCACACATGTTAGAGGGTCGGATGTGCCCGAGGGGACTCAGGTGACAGGTGGATGTCAGGCATGTCAGGGCCTGGGCTGAGGGCCAGGCTGAGGGGCCAAATAAGGGGCGAGGATTCGAGGGGCGAGGGTCTGTTGTGAAGTGTTTCAAGCCCCTGGGAGCCGTCAGGGTCCCCGGGAGCCCGGAGTCGGGCGTCGGGGCCCGGGGCGGCGATTCACTCACCTCAGGCCGGCCCGCGCTCGCCTCTGCTAAAGTGCCGCGCGCCGCGGGAGAGAGGCAGAGGGCGGTGCCTGGTAACGACGCCCCGCCTCTTTCCGTTACAGACCCCGCCCACAGAGGGAGCTCTTAGCTCATTGGCTGGCCGCCGGGCGAAAGGGGCGGGGCAACTTGGTGTCGCGGCCTCGGAAAGCAGAGCCAGAGGAGGCACGAGGGTGGGCTGAGGCTCAGCGGCTGTGCCTCTGTCCGCATCTGCCGGTTCTATTCTTGTGCGTCCGTCCGTCTGTCCGTCTGTCTGTCGTCTGTCTGTGTGTAAGGCCAGGTGCAGGGCCTGTGTGATCACTGTGTCCCAAGCGACCAGAGCAGCACCTGGCAAGGAAGATAGTCTCTCCTCAGCATGTGTTAAATGAGTAACTGAATGTCCAGCGTAGCGGTCCGCACAGCTCAGGTGTTCGGCCTCCGTGGCCACACCCTGCCGAGGGCGCACTTTCTCATAGACAAGGAAGCCAAGGCTCAGGGATGGGGCAGAGCTCCACACAGGTACACCAAGCCAGGAAGGGCTGAGAACTGGTACCAGCCCTGGTCTGCCAGGTGCTCCTGGTCACTGCGCAGTGGTGCTGAATCGCCAAGCGAGCACAGGATAAAAAGCTGCCCAGCACTTAGGAGCCTGGCACATAAAATGCCAATTGCAGGGAGGCTGGACAGAAGGCAACCCACGTCTGCCCTATGCCAAATGGCATGGCTGCTGGAGGACAAGGAGACGGAGCAGCCTGTGGCTGTTGCTTGGGGAATGATAGAAGTGCGGACAAGGGAAGGCCTGGTCATGGTGGAGAGGAGTACGCAGAGCCAAAGTCATTTAGCAGGTAGACTGGACAGGGCTTAGTAACAGGGAGGTCAGGAAGAGAAGCAATGAGTTGGGGCTGGAGGGTGCTATCACAGGTTGAGATGGGGAACAGCTCCAGAAGCACGTTTGCTTTTTTTTTTTTTTTTCAGAACCGGGGATTGAATTCAGGCCCCTGCTCTTGCCAGGCAAGCACTTATTCTACTGGGCTATCTCCTTGGCCCCTTAGAGGCAAGTTTGAAAAACAGTTAACTTTGGTTTGTGTTTGCCTTGTGTTTGAAGATACTGACAATCCTGGTACCCCTGTACTGTCTCCCAGGGATTCTGACCCGGAGCAGACTGATTGCAGAGGAAAGAAAAAACAAAACAACAAAAACCAGCTGAAGTCAAGTCAGACTGTTCTAGACACAGATGGAGACATTAGTGTATGGAGGGATATGGGCCATACCACATCCCTAAGAGGCTATGCTTCTGTCTCTTCTGAACCTGATTTTTTGGTTATTCTTTCCCAAACATGAACTTCCTTTCATACTTCCAGTCTTTATTCCATTATTCCATTTAAACAGCCCAGAGCTGATTTATAGCACTCTAGAAATGTATGAATCAAGATTCACTCAATATTCAATGAAATCAGCCTTCAGGAAGAATAGATATTTACTAGGCTTAGAATGGGCTCAGGATTCCAGGCAGAAAGTCCACCTAGAGAAAGATCAGGGTGCAGGAGAGGAGACTCAGGCAAGGTAAGTTTGGCTGGAGCATGAGTGGTCTTGAGTACCCTGCCTGACAGAGGGAGATTTGCTACTGAAACGTCCTGCAGTGCCCAGGCCACGAAGGTTCAGTTCCTCAGGAAGCTCAGATATTGGTATGGTCTGTTCATGCCTTTGTTCATTTGAGACCAGAAAACTTACCCAAATGTTTCTATTACAGCCTGGGCGCACAATAATCAGATTATGTCTCCTAGATTCCTTTGCAATGAGTCCTGACCAGTGAGATATAGAAAGATGTGCTCTCCCTCACTTCCAGGCTAGGTCCATCAAAGCCTTCCACAAAGTGACCCCTTCTTTCTCTTCCTCTGTTTGTACTCAGTGTTGAAGTTGAAGGCAAGGCCTGTGTCTTTCCAGCTCCTCTAATGATGATATGGAGCAAAGTTCTCACCTCAGCCAACTAAATTTGATCTGAGCAAGTTAAACTTGCATTCTCCAAAGCCATGGAGATATTAGAATTTAGGCTGAAGGGACAATAGGAGAAAGGGGAAAAATAATTTATTTTTATAGCTGCTGTTTTATTCTTCTTTTATGTATTTGGTACAGGGTTTCACTATGCAGCTCAGACTCATAGTGGTCCTCCTGTTTTCAGCCACCCAGCACTGGGATTACAGGTCTGAGCCACATAGCTGGTGTGGCCTGTGGTGCCAAGGATCAAACTGCTGTCCCTGTGCTTGCCTATGCTGGTGCTTTGTCTGCTGAGCTATCTCACCAGCCCTGCTGATCTTATCTAATGCAAATTTTGCTAGTCCATGGGGACATAAAGAAACTCTGTGGGCTTTGGTGGGTTGTCACCAGAGATTTATACCCTGGTTTAGCACTATGGATTTTCTTCTCACTTATTTGAATGAAGAACAAGCCTGATAAAAGAGCTTTAATGATTCAATTTCAACATTATTTAATAGCTAGCTTGGTGGAAACTTAACTGCTCTTCTGGGATTGGAAGAACAAACCAGTGCTGGGTTAAAAACGTTAAAACCCAGACACTTTTTAAGGGAAGGTTATATAGGCATGGTGAAAACTAAAAGTCTCTGAAAATACTTTGGAAGCCAAAACAAACTCTCAAATGGAATGTAACATTTTGTGAGCAAAACTGTACTTTTATATGCTCATGGAGACTCAAAAGAGGTTAGGATCCTTAGGAATTCTTTTGCTTTTAATGGTCTTTTCTTGGAGTGTATGTGTGTGTATGTGTGTTTGAAGACAGGGTCTTTGTATTTAGTACAGGGTCTACAGGGTCTCATTACACAGATTGGACTTGTAGTGATCCACCTGTTTTCAGCCTCTCAAGCACTGGGATTACAGGCACATGCCACCATGCCCAGTCTCAATCACCAGCTCAGCGTGCACCCGAAGCAAGGCCAGCACTTTTTAAATTTCTTATAACTTTTTTATTCTTTCTTTTTCCAATTTTGAATGCATATATCTGGTAATTTGAACAAATAATTTGAAGACAACACTATGCAATACAACAAATACTGTTGAATTCATTTTTTAGTAAAATTCTATATGATTTGTAATTTTTCTTAATACTATTTTGTATTCTCTTTAAAAAATAAATTTTTTAAATATATTTTTTGATACAGGGTCTCACTACGAAGTTCAGACTCAGAGTGATCCTCCTCTCAGTCTCCCTAGTGCTGTGATTACAGGTGTGTACTACTATGCTCAGTTCCAGGGCCCTCACGGTGCACCCAGGGTTCTGGGGCCAGCACAGCCTCCAGTACTGGGAATCTAACTCAGGACCTTGTGCTTGCCAGGCAGGTACTTATACCACTGAGCTATCTCCCCAGCCCTAAAAATTAAACTAAAAGTTTTGAGTTATCTGATGCTTATCAATCAGGCTTGTCAGTCTCATTTTGACATTCCCAGTTCTCTTAAGTCTCCAGTCCTATGGCACTGCCTTAGTTTAAGCCCCTCCATGTCTGTCACCTGTGCTACTATTGTAAGTGGGGCTCTGGTTGGCCTCCTGCTTTCTCCTTTTGTTCATCCTGGTTAGCCAGAGCAAGCCCTTTGAAATTAGAGCAGGTTTTGTCACCCTCTCCTTAGACCCCAACACCTACCATGCAGTAAAGTCGGTCTGGTCTTTGAGCCCTCTCTCTTCTCCCTGTACCTCCTGCTCTCCCCCTTAGCCACAACCCTCCTATGCTTATCCTCCAGCACAGCAGGGGCCTCTTCCCTGTTTTGGCTTGTGCTGGTCCTTGCCCAGGAGTGCTCTCCTTCGACATCCCTCATGAAGAACATGATAGGGATAGGGCTTGCTCCTTCCTCTGTTCAGGTCTGTAGCCAGTGGCCCCACTCAGGAAGGCCTGCCCTTCACCACCATCTGAAATCACCACCCAATCCTCTATTTGTCCTTCCCTTACTTGCTTCTCCCTTAGCACTTATGTCCATCTGGCTTACATCTTCCATGTAATATGTACACCCTTCTTAGCCATTGTCTCTACTCTCTGGTCTCTAAGTCCCAAGGGAAGTTTGGCAGATTTGTTCACTGCCTGTTATGGCTTGTGTCTAGGTGTCCCCCCAAACCTCACGAATTCATAGGTGGGCTTTTTCAGAGGTGGCTAGATCTAGAGCATGTGATGCTGGGATTGATGAAGGGTGCAGTGCTTGAGCATTGCCTACCCTAAGCAGCCTGGATGAGCCAAAAGGGGCAGAAAGATGCTCCTAAGGTAGCATGTTTTGCTACCTTCTGCCTGCCATAAACTGTTCTCCTTTGTGAAGCCACCTTGCCTTGGAGTCAGATGATTATTCACTGGAACCTTTAAAAACTGTAATCTAAAGAAACTTTTCCTCCTTTAACTTTGGATATTGCGTATTTTTTTGTCTCAGCAATGGGAAACATAACACACTGCTACATCCCAGGGCCTGGAACACTGCTGGCACTTGGTAAATACTTGCTACATGGGTCATGCTTAAAAGGCCTCCCTGTCTTCTGCTAGCTGCTTTGTCCCCTAATCATGCCTGCTTCTTCTCATAGTGATTCCACAGGAACAGAGATATAGTATGGTGTTCACCCCTGAATCTCCAGCACAAGCTTGTCTGTGGTGTGTGGTAGGTGCTCAACAAAACACTGGTTCCTAATTGAAGGCCCAGAACTGATCCTGATTCACTTCTGGGCATTTAGCACCTAGAGGCTGCTGAGATCTGGATCCATTCAAGCAAGCAGCAATAGTAACTGAGTGTCATACTTTTCATAAAAATTATTCTTGGGGCCTGCGAGATAGCTCAGCAGTCTAAAGCACCTGCTTAGGCAAGCTTAGGCAAGCTTAGACAAGTACAGGGAATGCAGTTTGATCCCTGCCCCCAGGGTGGGCTGAGCTGGCCACAAAAAATCAAATCAAATCAAATCTTGGTTTATTTTTAATGCTATTTTTATAGAAAACCCAGCCTGAGCGAAGGAACATGTCTCCAGGGTGTCCTCACAGATACTGTCACATGGCAGCAG